TCTTCGTTACTGAGGCCCGTGGTCCAGTTGGTACGACGTTTGCGTTGTATCGAAACGGTCCGGGTTCGTTTCGCAGTAGTGGATACGCACTGCTGATGAGTCACAGATACGGCGAAATGCTTTCTGTGTTCAGTTGAGGATTATTCTAGACCTGACGAATTACTATATATATAAATATGTGTATTTAAACCATATGTTAATCCGTCAAGCCTAGAATAATTAGAAGCTGGTCAATCAAATAAGAATTGAAAAAAGTTCTGAATAGAAGACAATTTCTTTTTCTTATTACATTTTTAATCATAATGCCTTATTCTTTCTTTTTATGTGCCATGTCCTTTCAGGACGTACGCGATCATGGCTCTCCACCTTTCTCTATCCCTTGTAGCTCTCAACTATCTCCCCCAGACCACGTTCTGTCAACCACTTGCTTAACCCCGCTAAGTATATGATGCGTTGATTTCTCTTGTATCCCTTTCCCTCTATTCGACTCGTGAGTATTAGATTCTCCAGACCCTCCTTCCTCATTATGCTTCCCAGAAACTTCAGCTGCCTCTTCCTGGTGGCGGAGTAACTCTCTGAGACAACGACCAACTAACTAGAGGTGGCGCCTCCATAAACCACCATGGAGAAGGTAACGGGAACCACTCCAGTACCAATCCCAAGACAATCATAGTCAACAATGCCATATTACGGCGTCCAAATTGATTTTTTAATTTTTTTTTTAATGAATTAACTAAATATTAACCAAATATAAAATGGGTTACATGTTTATGTATATTCGCGTTCTCTATTAAATAAGAGAATGTAAAATTATGATACGATGTCTACAGATGTAAGCAGACACATATTTCTGACGGTAATCGTCCAGTTCACACCCCGATTTTTTTGAACAGGAGTAGAGGTTTATCCCTTGTTTCCTGTTTAGCATTGTGTTTCCAGCTTCTTCTAAAGATTTTTCATTATCTTTCATTCCCAACAGCATAATCGCTTTGCTTTGTGTGAATTGATCATATATATATATATATATATATAAGCAACATAGGGACAAGACAGTGATGTTATGTTTAATTGTCATCTTTGATAATGGCTTATGTAAGCCGAAAGCTTAGATTGTATTAAAAAAATATGGATCAATATTGTGAATTTCTTTCTTCGTTCAATGATAATGTTATTAAACTTATCAGACGTTATGAAAAAAAATTACATAAAATAAATAGACAACACTTGTCTATATTATTTAATGAAACGTGTATGAATATATATATGCATAATTAGGAAAAAACCTTAAAAACACACACACACACACACATATATATATTTTAAGACATTTTTTATGTTTATACGTTCTTTTTACAGATACAAATATTTAAGTAAATGCTCTGTTTATAATAAACAGTATTAAACAGAGCATTTACTTAAATATTTGTATCTATAAAAAGAACGTATAAACATAAAAAATGTCTTAAAATAATTGTCGGACTTTGTCCATTTCCTAATGTGTGACGTCATTTGCTTACATTTGGATACGCACCGAGCAGATATGAATGTACGTGAGAAAATCATGGAAAATTGTAGTTTAAAAACAGTAAAATCGACCTCGCTAACCGAAATGCTCCACTGTGACGAAATCGGTAGAAGCACGTTAGGCTAAATGACGTTTTCGTATAGGATACAGGTTCGATTCCAGTCGGAGGACGCATATTTTCTATGAACATTTCTCTGATATTCAGTAATGTTGTTAATACTGTTTATTATAAAACAGAGCATTTACTTAAATATTTGTATCTATAAAAAGAATGTATAAACATAAGAAATGTTTTAAAATAATTGTCGGACTTTGTCCATGACAATGGAATAAATTATGACCATAGAATATTAGAGATTTTTAACAGCTTTCGGTTCGACCAAGACGGGATTTGATATTAAATTATTGGTAATTTGTTCAAGTTTTCTTATGTGGCTTGTTCTGTGAAACATTCGGCATCCTCATCTATATATAAATTTATCCATGGTGTTGAACTCAAGAGAAATATTGTGTTCATATCTACTTTCTGTCAGTTGGCCTATCTCACAACAGAAATGAATGCGGACGCCCGGATAGACACAATATTCAAAAAGGGAAATTTTCTTCGATTAATTAATTATGCCAAGCCATTTTCGCAAGAAATTCCAAGACCTATTGATTTCGACTCTTTTATCTTTGAATTAGGCTAATGAAAATCATTGGAATGTTTGTTAAAAAAAAAAAAAAGAACCTCTAAAATCGATGAAATCCTGTTCATAAATTACATTATGTTTCTTAAAATGTTCAACCGAACAAGAATCATTCTTCATTCGAAATCTGAAACCAAAGGCAAGAATTGGCCGTTTTGGTGGTTTTCAAGAACTTAAGAAGAAAATATCTAGGTTTATAATTAATAAAAAGATGAAAGTAGAAATGAAAGAAAAAGAGAGAGAGAGACAGATAAGAAGAAAGTGAAGCAATCAGAGAGAGGGAAATCTAGCGAGACGGAGAGAGAGAGAGAGAGAGAGAGAGAGAGAGAGAGAAAGAAAGAGAGATCGAGAAAGTGGATGGAAAGAGACAATTAGGAAGAAGAGACAACAGGGGAAAATGATTTTGTTCAGTTAAGCGCTACAAAGGTCAAGATGTTGTGGAGAGCAATAATCGCCTACTTTCTGAAGGGACAATGCGCAAGGAATGATGATAAAAATAAAAGTTAATATAACCCCCCCCCACAAAAAAAAATAGAAAAAAAGAAGAGAGAGTGAATGAGAAGAAAATAAAAAGAGGAAAAGAAATTGAAACAGAAAGAGAGAAGTGGAAACATTGGAAAAATAAGTGAAAGGCGTCATAATGACCAGAAGAAAATCTGCAGGAAAAAAAAAAAAAAAGAGGCAAGAGATTTATTCCAAATGTTCAATAAATTATATTAACTCAGTCCACTTCAGCAAAAAGAAAATGGTTGCTTTGTCAAACAGCAGATATGAACAGCAACGTGGCTTATCTAAATCTGTTTTCATTTACAAAGAATTATTTAGTATATTTACTAATTTAATAATGTCGTAAAAAAAGATGACATAATTTGTTAAGTCCTTATTAGAAGGTTTTCACATGTAAGTCTTTAAATATATAAATGTACTAGTTTACCCAGGCTGGTCAAAATGATGGCATATTTTGTTTAGTCTTTACTATTATTAGAAGATTTTCACATGTGAGTCTTTAAATATATAAATATACTAGTTTACCCAGGCCGTCCAAAAATGATGGCATATTTTGTTAAGTCCTTACTATTATTAGAAGGTTTTCACATGTGAGTCTTTAAATATATAAATATACTAGTTTACCCAGGCCGTCCAAAAATGATGGCATATTTTGTTAAGTCCTTACTATTATTAGAAGGTTTTCACATGTGAGTCTTTTAAATATATAAATATACTAGTTTACCCAGGCCGTCCAAAATGATGGCATATTTTGTTCAGTCCTTACTATTATTAGAAGGTTTTCACATATGAGTCTTTAAATATATAAATGTACTAGTTTACCCAGGCCGTCCAAAATGATGGCATATTTTGTTCAGTCCTTACTATTATTAGAAGGTTTTCACATATGAGTCTTTAAATATATAAATGTACTAGTTTACCCAGGCCGTCCAAAATGATGGCATATTTTGTTAAGTCCTTATTATTATTAGAATGTTTTCACATGTGAGTCTTTAAATATATAAATATACTAGTTTACCCAGGCCGTCCAAAAAAATGATGGCATATTTTGTTCAGTCCTTACTATTATTAGAAGGTTTTCACATGTGAGTCTTTAAATATATAAATAGTCTTTAAATATACTAGTTTACCCAGGCCGTCCAAAATGATGGCATATTTTGTTAAGTCCTTAGGCCGTTATTAGAATTTTTTTCACATGTGAGCCTTTAAATATATAAATATACTAGTTTACCCAGGCCGTCCAAAATGATGGCATATTTTGTTCAGTCCTTACTATTATTAGAAGGTTTTCACATGTGAGTCTTTAAATATATAAATATACTAGTTTAACCAGGCCGTCCAAAAATGATGGCATATTTTGTTCAGTCCTTACTATTATTAGATTTTCACATGTGAGTCTTTAAATATATAAATATACTAGTTTACCCAGGCCGTCCATAATAATGGCATATTTTGTTTAGTTTTTACTGTTAGTTTATTGGAAGTTTTTTCACATGTGAGTCTTTAAATATATAAATATACTAGTTTAACCAGGCGGTCCAAAATGATGGCATATTTTGTTCAGTCCTTACTATTATTAGATTTTCACATTATTTAAAATATTATATTTTACCCACATGTCCAAAATGATGGCATATTTTAAATATATAAATTTACATGTAAGTCTTTAAATATTTAAATATAGGCCGTCCATCCAAAATAATGGCATATTTTGTTTAGTTTTACTGTTATTGGAAGATTTTCACATGTGAGTCTTTAAATATATAAATATACTAGTTTACCCAGGCCGTCCAAAATGATGGCATATTTTGTTCAGTCCTTACTATTATTAGAGGTTTTCACATATGAGTCTTTAAATATATAAATATACTAATTTTTATCCAAAATGAGGCATATTTTGTTCAGTCCTTACTATTATTAGAATAATGGCATATTTTAAATATATAAATTTACTAGTTTAACCACTGTTATTGGAATTTTGTTCATTTTACTATTATTAGATTTTGAGTCTTTAAATATATAAATATATTAGTTTACCCAGGCCGTCCAAAAATGATGGCATATTTTATTAAGTCCTTACTATTATTAAAGGTTTTCACATGTAAGTCTTTAAATATATAAATATACTAGTTTACCCAGGCCATCCAAAATGATGGCATATTTTGTTCAGTCCTTACTATTATTATTAGTTTTTCCCATGTAAGACTTTAACTTTATTTTTCCAATAATTGTATAAAATAAAAACATGTAGTAATTCCAGGTGCATCTGTTTATTACTTATCAATAATAGAAAAGTGATTCATCACGTGATGTTCATCATATTCGTAACAAAGACGCTGTCACCTGGCATCGCTATTTAAATGGAAATAACAACTTTACTCACTCATTTGCCGCCATTGAACGCCTTACTGAGAGCAATTACAAATACAAGTGGCTTTGGATATGGAGGGATCATTTAAATATTAGACGATTTATTTTATTATGAGAAATATTTAATTTCTGTAAATTCAAGTAGAAATTTGTGAAAATTCATTGCCCTGTATTTTATGTGACGCACACGCAGCGGCGCGGTTGAAGTAGGAAAAGACAATTTTTATTTGTCCATTCAATCCGAATTTGAAAATTATTCATCTTTAGATTGTCACAAATGCTTGAAAAGAAATTTTCTGCCTTTGTAAAGGAATATTTTTTCGGAAAGCCGTTGTAAACTGTCAAGAAATTCCGACTGCAGAAAATTAGGGTTTTTTTGTTTTTTTTAATAGTTTTTAGGAAAGAAAATTACAAGCGATAAAATCATTTTAATTTTGACGGTTCGCAATGATAAAATTTAGAAAATTGTTTGCAATTCTTTCTCTCTTTCTTTTTGTTTATTTTTTTTAAACTGATATCACTTCTTATTGAGTTCATCAAAAGAAATTATCCATTTTTTTTACACAATTTCATTAGAACGTTACTTTCATTTGGAGGTACACTTTTTTTTACCGTATATTATAGTTTGAACTAACATTGCTGAAACATATTTACAGAATGAATAATTATTTTTTATAGATTATCCAAACAACTACTAGGAAAACATTCCTCACATTAAAAAAAAGCCTGAAAATTTTCCTTTAAAACAACAATATAGGAAAATTTATCATTACTTAAATATTATATTTCATTATTTTGACTTATTTTCATAATATGAAACTACAAAAAAAAGTTTAAGTTTTCGTCTATTGCTTATATTTGCTGCCTTTCCACATATTTCCAACGAATGACATTCTTAAAAATATCAATTTGTTTAAAAAGTCTTATTTGCAATATGAAACCCGGTAAAAAGTAACTTTTATTTTATTTCATTTTTTTTTTCAGTAACTGCTTCGAATTGAAAGATTAGGAAAGTGACGAAGGATGGAAAAAGATGTTCTGGATGATAGGGAATTTGCATAAAGATGTTTCCTTGGTTACAGGGATACCCTCTCGGTTGCTAGGCAACAAATATACATGGATCTGAACTTTGTTTCATTCAAAGGAAAATGAGAAGACACTCTAATGGGAGGGGGAGGAGGAGAAGGAAAGAAAAAAAAAAGAAATATGTATATATATAGATAGATAAAGAACCTGAAGAAAAACAGAAAAAAACATGCTCAATACTAAAACAATAATTTGTAAATAAGAAATAAAAAATAGAAATCCAAGCAAAAATAAAAGAAATTTATTATATATATATATATATATATATATATATATATATATATATATATATATATATATATATATAATAGATATAACAGATAATAAATAGAGTTAAATTTAATAAACTTAGATAATGAATCGACTTAGATAAAAATAAACAGAAAAATATATATATATATATATATATATATATATATATAGAGAGAGAGAGAGAGAGATAGATAGATAGATAGATAGATAGATAGATAGAGATAGATGAAACAAACTGAAAAACATAGCTAGCTAGACAGAAACTGAAAAAGATATATATACATAGAGAGAGATGGAGATAGATATAGAAATTGAAAAAAAAGATATATATATATATATATATATATATATATATATATATATATATATATATATATATAGATAGATAGATAGATACATAGATACATAGATAGATAGATACATAGGTAAGGAAACAAAAGAAAAAAATGTTACAAAAGAAAATCAATTGGCGACAAGAGATAAAAATAGAGATCTAATCAAAAATGAATGAGTAAATAAATTTAGTGAACGAAAAGAAGAAAGAACTGAACGAAAATGACGAAGGAAAAAAATCAAAGAAAGTGGAATAGAAAAGAAATAAGGAAAAAAAAAAATAATTACAATGAAAAAAAATTGAAGGAAAATTAAAACGAAGGAATATGAAAATGAATGAATGACCGAAAGAAGTAGAGAATGAAATAAAATAAATGAAAAAACCGAAAAATAAAACAAAGAAGAAACAAAAGAAAAATGGAAGAAAGATGGCAAATTATATAACAAATGAAGGAAAGAAAAAAAAAGGGGAAATCCTAAATTGTGAAATTTAAGTCGGAAAAATGAAAAACTAAAAGTAATGATAACAGGAAAGTAGGAAGAAAGGAAAGAAGAAAGAAATCAAATATGGAAGAAATAAAAAAATAAAAATAAAATAAAGAAGTGAAAGAATGTAAATGAAAAGCTGTGAAGGCAGTATTAATGAAAAAAAGAAAAAGAAAGAAAGAAAAGTGAAGGAGAAAATAGAAAATGCAAAGATAAGAAAAGATTTTTCAAATGAAAAGAAAAAAACAACAAAAATCCAAAGTCTTAAGGACGAATAATAAAGAGAAGAAGAAGGAAGTGAAGAAAGAAAGAAAAAGAAAAAAAGAAGGAATAAAAAAAAGAAAACAGTAGATAAGGTGAAAGAATTGTCTAAGAAAAGAATGAAATAATGAAAGAAGGAAAGACAGAAGAAGAAAGAAAAAAGTAAAGAAAGAAGTAAAGGAGGGAGAAAAAGAAGCAGAAAAGGATTGATTGTAAAAGGAAGAATAAAGAAGAAAAGAAAATGGAAGAAAAACAAAAGAGAAGAAAAGTAAAGAAAGAAGGACCTACAGAAAGGGAAAGGGGGCAGAAAAAGAGAAAATAAAGAACATAGGAAATATAGAAGTAAAGAGAAAAAGAAGCAGAAAAGGGGAAAAAGTAAAGAAGGAATAGTTAAGAAAACAATAAAAGAGGAGAAAAGAGAGAAGAAGAATGTAAGGAAGGAAGGAAAAAAGAAGTAAAGGGAGAAAAGGAAACAGAAAAAAGAAAGAAAAGAAAGAAGAATTAAAAAGAAAAGAAAAAAGAAGAAAAAGACGGAAGAATAAAGTAAATTAATTTAAAAAGAAAACAAAATCGAACTACAAAGAAGACAGTAAGAAAAATGTAACTAACCAGAAAGGAATGTTTATAATAATTTCATAATTCCAAAAATTGCATACAGCGAAAGTTTGAAGATTAGACACGCGGAGACGTAAACATATGCGCATGCGCGCACAGAAACGTAGGTACAAACACGTTTTTCTTTTTTTTTTTGTGTGTGTGTATATTGACCAATCGAGCAGTAAATACGTGTAAGTTTCTGTATGTAAGATGAAAATGATACGAAACACATAGATTTTCACAATTAAATCAAGCTGTATATAGTTGCATAGAGATTTAAATGGACGGAAATTGATTGATAACATAAAGGAAAAAAAACGAAGAAAAAACAAAAAAGACGAAAAAACAAATAAATTGACAGATTAATTTAAAGATAAATAGTTCGTTTTTTACTTATATATGCACACACACATTTTTATATGTATATGTCTAGATATATACCTACATTCATATATATATATATATATATATATATATATATATATATATATATATATATATATAGGTAAATATCCGGGGTTAAATAATCCAAGTGAACCCTAATAATATAAAATATTAAAACTGATCCGCAAATAGAGCTCAATGTATTTAATACAGAGCATATACATAAGTTACAAATATATGAAATTCAAAAATACCCCATCTGTATGGCCATTTCAAAAAGGTCATTCAGATGGGGTATTTTGGAAATTCATTTATTTATTTATTTATATATATATATATATATATATATATATATATATATATATACAATAGTATGGAATTAAATACGTTCATTCCTATTTTCAAATATGCATTTAGATATTTAGCGATTTAAAAATAGACATTTACAGATATATAGGAAGATATGACGAGACTGATATATATATATATATATATATATATATATATATATATATATAGATAGAGAGAGAGAGAGAGAGAGAGAGAGAGAGAGAGAGTGAGAGAGGAGGGTAGGTAAGACGGAAAGGAAGAAATCGAAGCTTGGTAGCTGCAAAGGAAAAAAGAAGTAACGAAGAAAGAAAATAATTCAAAAAGGGAAGGAAAGGGAGAAAAAAGAAGGAAAAAGGAAATTAAAAGAAGAAAGGCAGGCAGACAGACAGGCAGACAGACAGAAAAACTGAAAGAAAGAAACAAAGAAATAAAGATGGCGATAACTGGATAAGCGTCAACGAAATGTTTTCCGTGTATATCTTCTGGTTTGCCTTCTGATGACAATCCGATAAATTAAACGCGCTAGATTTTTATCTGTGCCAACCGACCAACAAAACACACATCCACCTTTTCCCGCCTTTTTCAATCTTCCGTACGTTTTCAGGATAATTCTCCAAGGAGATTTTTTTTTTTCGTTCACATGACTACCAAAGCCAAAATCAGGGAGCCACTCGTCCGCGGTAGACAAAGTTACGTTTACTTTTTATTCTTTGTCTACATCTTTATTTCACGCCGATGTACGTCTCTGAAAAAAAAAAAAAAAAAAGTCGCTGCGCATGTAATTACACGATCTGATCCATAGATTTTTAAAAGTTTCATTGTTAGCTTTCCATGGAAGACCATCGATATGCGTTGACTCCCCTTTTTTTTCTGCTCATTTCATTTTATGCTTTTTTTCTCTCTATACCAGTTGTAGGTTAAAATATCGAGATAGACCAGTCCATTTAACTTTGGTTGACAGAGACGGATAACACTGACCTTTAAAATTGTTTGGTATGTGACTAAAATTATGTTCAGTGTCTATCAGAGAAAACAGGTGCATCAGCGGGTTCACCTAATCGCAAGCTTCAGATCAGCGCCTTCACTAGATGTCAGTGGCTGCTCCCGACATGTAAACACGTAGGCGACCCAGTTACAACTAGAATGTGCGCACATAGGACAAACCGGATGAAAGGTAGATATATAATCACAGATTCAAGAGGGAAGTAAACCGCAAAGCCCATTCGCCAATAGTAACCGGAGAAGTCTAATGTGACGCATGACTGATTTAACCTCGTATTTTTATTAATCTGTGCAACGATAACATTACAATGTTTGAGTGATAAATAATAGTCTAGCAGACTATTATTTTTTAAAGAATTGTATTTCCTCTGACTTCCTCATTTTGACCTCTGAGGTCGGATACAGAAAAACAAAGGAAGTCGTTTAGATTAGCTGAGCCGAACGTGGAAATGTTAGAGATAAAGAAAGTATATTCAATCGAAGTCCTATGGAATGTGATTTGAAGAACTCGACTCAATTCAAATTCTACGGAGTTTGTGATTTGAAGAACACGACTCAATTGAAATTCTACGGAGTTTGTGATTTGAAGAACACGACTCAATTGAAATTCTACGGAGTTTGTGATTTTAAGAACTCGACTCAATTGAAGTTCTACGGAGTTTGTGATTTGAAGAACTCGACTCAATTGAAGTTCTACGGAGTTTGTGATTTGAAGAACTCGACTCAATTGAAGTTCTATGGAGTTTGTGATTTTAAGAACTCGACTCAATTGAAGTTCTACGGAGTTTGTGATTTGAAGAACACGACTCAATTGAAATTCTACGGAGTTTGTGATTTGAAGAACACGACTCAATTGAAATTCTACGGAGTTTGTGATTTTAAGAACTCGACTCAATTGAAGTTCTACGGAGTTTGTGATTTGAAGAACTCGACTCAATTGAAGTTCTACGGAGTTTGTGATTTGAAGAACACGACTCAATTGAAATTCTACGGAGTTTGTGATTTGAAGAACTCGACTCAATTGAAGTTTTACGGAGTTTGGGATTTGAAGAACTCGACTCAATTGAAGTTTTACGGAGTTTGGGATTTGAAGAACTCGACTCAATTGAAGTTTTACGGAGTTTGGGATTTGAAGAACTCGACTCAATTGAAGTTTTACGGAGTTTGTGATTTTAAGAACTCGACTCAATTGAAGTTTTGCGGAGTTTGTGATTTGAAGAACTCAACTCAATTGAGGTTTTACGGGGTTTGTGATTTGAAGAACTCGACTCAATTGAAGTTTTACGGAGTTTGTGATTTGAAGAACTCAATTGAAATTCTACGGAGTTTGTGATTTTAAGAACTCGACTCAATTGAAATTCTACGGAGTTTGTGATTTTAAGAACTCGACTCAATTGAAGTTCTACGGAGTTTGTGATTTGAAGAACTCGACTCAATTGAAGTTCTACGGTGTTTGTGATTTGAAGAACTCAACTCAATTGAAATTCTACGGAGTTTGTGATTTTAAGAACTCGACTCAATTGAAGTTTTACGGAGTTTGTGATTTGAAGAACTCGACTCAATTGAAGTTTTATGGAGTTTGTGATTTGAAGAACTCGACTCAATTGAAGTTCTACGGAGTTTGTGATTTGAATAACTCAACTCAATTGAAATTCTACGGAGTTTGTGATTTTAAGAACTCGACTCAATTGAAGTTCTACGGGGTTTGTGATTTGAAGAACTCGACTCAATTGAAGTTCTACGGAGTTTGTGATTTGAAGAACTCTACTCAATTGAAGTTCTACAGTGTTTGTGACTTGAAGAACTCAATTTTCGGCTGGAATTGGAATCTCAGGCCAAATGGGAATATTGATCCGAATCGGACTTTCGGCCAAAATCAGTCTTTTGGCCGGAATTGGACTTATCACCAAAATCAGTGTTAAAGTCTGGTTTTGAAGTTCCATGGAGTAAATTGAGGAATTCAAAGTTATTTCTTCAAAGTTATCATTGCTGTTTTCTAAGCTGAACCGGAGATTCCTTTAGCTTTGGTCCGGAAGCACTATTAGCCCTCCACCTGAGTGCGTCTTTTAAGTTAGTTTAACGATCATATCTAAATCCCTGAAAACGGATTAAGAAATAAAACATTTTGAGAAGAACGAAAACCAAAAGGTTTTGTGTATTTCTCTTATATAGAAAGCTGCATTCATTGTTTCTTATTTACACGCGAACTATTGTCCTCATCTTTGTTGTTGCTATCACAGGTGGGAATTCTGTACTGAACCTTTTCTTTAATCTACAGGGTTAGACTGTTCTCGATCTACTGCCCATGTCTCGGAATATCTTCTAGTTCTTCAATATATGTCTATATCTCTGAGATGAGGTATTATGATTACTTGCATTATTTACATTATTCGGACTGTTATCCTCGTCTCCACTGCCATACTCACAACGTTTCGGCCGTTGTGCGCTCCGGCCTTTTTCAGGCGATTGGAATTTAGAACCGAAACCTTTATTTCATCCACCGGGGTAGGTTGTTCTGATTCCACTTGCCACACCTCTTTCGAATGTATCAGTTATTTCTCTTTAACACAACTTTTCAAGTTTTGGTTCACTACTGCTGTGGCCTGGTATTGAACTCACAACTCTTTGGGTCTAATTACTGGATTTAATCAACGTCATTAGTCCTTCTAGTGCTTAATTTTATTTTTTTTAGCTCAGTTATAGGTTCGAAGAAGGCTGGTCCTCTCTAAGACCTACAGGCTTAATTCTCTTGAATTCCCTGAGAAAGCAATATATAACTGATAATTTAACTCTCTCTCTTGCTTTGTTTATATTCGGACTATTACCTAATCTTTGTTGCTGTTATCACAGCGTTTTGGACGTTGTACTCTGCGGCCTTCCTCAGGTGTATATCGATCTACAGGGAATTTTGAACTGAACCCTTTCTTTTGTCTACGGTGGTAGTTTGTTCTACTTCCACTGCTAGGGTTATCGCATTTAGTTCTTATTTTAGGTACTGCCTAGTTATTTATCGCCCTGTTTCCACTAAGTTCAAGTAGACACTGCCCGACCCAGGGATTGAACTCACAATTACTATGTCAGTTAAGAAACCAACGCTTTAATCCCATAGGCTAATGTTCCGTAGCTACATTAATTTTGGGGGTTTGGTATGTTTCGGCTTTGCCCATTTGGCGTCGATGATTCGGCGTTAGAAAATAATTGGACTATTCGGAACGGCCGTTTAGGTGTCAGACTGTTTCGACGTGACTGTCTTCGACCGGTGGCAAACCCTCTCCCGCTAAAAAAGAATAAGAGCATTGAAAACACCCAACTTTCAATGTGACTTATTTTTGTTCCTTTAGGGAATTAAGGATCCTATTAAAACCCTAATGCCAAACATTCATTTAGGACAACGGTTGGTGGCTTGAGAGTCTTCTTAACGGTTGTTTTTGTTTCAATAGTCCGAATGTAAACAGTGTAAATAATCTGTGCTCCGTTTTAGGAGTCTGGTACGTTTCGGCGTCGCCCAGCTGACGTGTATGATTCGGCGTCAGAAAAATAATTGGACTATTCAGAACAGCCGTTTAGGCGTCAGACTGTTTCAGCGTGACTGTCTTTGACCAGAGGCAACCCCCACAAAAAAAAAAAATAAATAAATAAATTATAAAAGCATTGAAAACAGTCAACTTTCAATATGACTTTTATTCATTTAAGGATCCTATTAAAATACTAATGTCAAACATTTATTTAGCCCAACAGTTGGTGGCTCAAGAATTTCAGTCCTTCTTTCTAAACAGCTGCTTTTATAGACATGCAATGAGAACAGCAAAAATTGCTATATGAGCACTGGTAAAAAATGATGCTGAAAACATTAGGTTTATAATACTCAGAAGTTCATGCCCAGATGTCCTCAAGGGCACATGGCACAGTGGATAAAGGCGTTGGTTAGATCCAGTGACAGACCCAAAGAAGGTGAGTTCAATAGCTGGTTAAGGCAGTGGAGAACTTTCAGAGGGAAAATTAGCAGGAGATAACTGACATCCATCAAACATGGCACGTAGAACTAGAACAGTCTACCCCAGTGATCGAAATAAAGGGTTCAGTTCGAAATTCCAACCGCCTAAAGAAGACCGAAACGTTGTGACAAAGATGAGGACAATAGTCAGACTAATGTAAATACTGAGCTGCTTTTATCTTTTCAACCTTTATTTTTGCAGCAGATTCTTCATGGGTGCGTTCGTTCAACTGACGAATCATTTTTCCATCCTTCATATGTAATCTCACTTTACATGGATCTTTCTGTTCACATCGCTAAAACTTTCATTCAGGATCCCTTTTGCTCGTTTCGTCCAAAATAAAAAAGTATTCATTGTGTTGTGGCACCATGCATACCTGACGAGCTGAAAAGAAATATTCATAGATATATGATTTGTTTTTTACGGTTTATCAACCATTTAATAATTATTTAGGGCCGAAAAATATTTTGGGTTTTAAGAATAATTCTTTCTTTACGTTCAAGCGATCTGGAAGAAGGAAAGAGAAAACGAAGAAGAAAGAAAGAAAAAATAATACGAAAACAGGTCATAGGCGAGCACACACTCGCACGGCTGACAGATAACAGGTGTCGAAAAATATCCAGGTCAAGCATCTAACCGAGATCAGGGGGAAATGGAAGTTGTTATCAATTGGTTGAAGAAACGAAGTTTAGGGACAATGAAAAATATTGATAAGTAACAAGTGGAAAGTGTGTCATTAGGATGATAGGTAACAGGTGGGAAGTGTATCTAAGGATATGAAGACAAACCATTAATACGAAAACACAGACAGTCTCCAGAATTAGAAAAAGCCACACAAGACGATGTCGCTGGAAAATTTTTTTTTTGAGATAATAAAGATTTTTATTATCAGCCCTTCAAGCGGGGGAAAATGAAATATTTTTATTTCGTTCCAAAACGCCAAAAGGTCTGAGAAATTCCTTTCTTAGATCATATCCAATTAGCGATAAACTGCTTGACAAATACCACGTGTTAAAAAGCCGAAGGTGTCATCTCAGTCGCTCATGATAAGGGCGATTTAAATTAATATTTTTGTTTTTAAACAAGGTGTTCTTTCTAAAAACAAAGCCACGGATTGTCCACGCCCGACTAAAGACGTCATTGGCTAAATAAGATCACATGACACACGAAGGAGGAGGAAAGATACCCGACCAGGACCTCATTGGCCGAAAGCGGTCACATGACACACGAAGGAGGGGGAAAGATACCCGACCAGGACCTCATTGGCCGAGAGCGGTCACGTGACGCACGAGGAGAATCGGTCGACGCCCTTGTCAGAAGTGTAAGTGTAAGGAGCCGATACAAAGAAGCGAAAGAAGCGGGTATACGCCCCTCAGAGGCACAGTAAGGAAGTGGGAGTGAGAGTGAGTTACCGAAAATGGAAAATCCTTAACCAGAAATAAGAAGGGTGGATACGTATTTAGAATTATCGAAAAACCCCTGGCGCCGACAGACCCACCCCAGTTTTTACTGCGTCAATAAAAGCGAAACCCCAACCGACAGAAATCAGTTGGAGTTTGCGCCGCGGACGGCGGGCCAGGTTCGTTCGCCCCTTTGCGGGCAAGAGAGGCCAGTTCGTTTGGCCTAAGTGAAGAAGTTCGTCCGACCCAAGCCGAAGAGAAGAAGTTAATTCGTGCACCGACGGCGGAGATGAGTGACCAGTAATTCAGACTCTGAAGAGAAGTTAATTCGCGCACCGACGGCGGAGATGAGTGACCAGTAATTCAGAAGCCGAAGAGAAGAAGTTAATTCGCGCACCGACGGCGGAGATGAGTGACCAGTAATTCAGACTCTGAAGAGAAGAGTTTCAGCCGCGGACGGCGAGAGAGTTTGAGCAGCGGACGGCGAAAGAGTTTTGAGCCGTGGACGACAAGCAGAGATGAGCGCCCAGTGATGAAACCGCGTCAAGATAGCTGACCAAGATTCACGCACTTCTGGACTCTTCTTCAACCAAGAACAAGTAGTTTAAAGAGCGACTTAGAATCAGACCACAGAAATAAGTTTTTTTTCGACTTTCGTCCAAAAACACACACCGAAACACAAATTTCTTAGAGAGCAGACAACTTGAAGCCTTAAAGTTGCCTAGTAAAAGCGTCGTGCCACAATCCACAGAACGGGTCGGGAAGTAGACATTGTCCTATGTACCGAGCAAATAGACATAAAAAGTTTGTTACCTTTTTTTTGATACGTTGGACCTTGTGAGTTTTTATTTTATTTTTAATAATAATTGTGTGTTATCACCCCGTTAGACTCAACTTGCATTACGGCCCCAACCCCTGTTTGATCTCGTCTGTCTAAGATCAATTCACAACGTGGGTAGGCAGACTGGAGATCAGTGCAGTTACCCTGGTAACCAGGCGTTGGAAGCAGGTTGGGAACGACGAGGCTGGTATCAATCTAACCAAAGGGTTAGAACGTCACGTTTGGAGCAGCGAGGAGCGAACAGCTGACGTCGCGGCAAAGACGTCACAACTGGTGCTGTCCGTGACCAGGATATCAAAGCCTGGGGAGCACGTGACGTCACAATTGGCGCCGCGACCGGGATCGAAAGGCACAGTCGACGCTGCGACCGGGGGACGACGTCACAGTGTATCACTTTGTTTCTTCCACGTTTTGATGAAATATTTGCTTCCATTTGGAATAAAAAGGCTTTGACTAATGAAAAATATGAGGCTGCACTGAAGAAAATATAAAAATACTTCTAAGTACCCTATTTCTTAAATGTAAAAATACCTCTAAGTACCCTTTTTCTTAAATATAAAAATACCTCCAACTACTCTTTTTCTTAAATTGGAGTATTCGAGCATATAAAGACCGAGTACTAATTAGACTACAGAGAGAGAGAGAGGGAGAGAGAGAGGGAGGGAGAGGGAGAGAGAGGACAAATTTCCCTATAACGACGAAGTAGTAATCTGCTCTATAACTTGGCGTCGGAATGCGTATAAAAGTTGATACTTTGTGTGCCCATTTAAGGTGGGTTTGGAAAGATTCGGCGTCACCCATTTGACATTGCTGATTCGGAGTCAGAAAAACAATTGCACTATTCGGCACAGCCATTTAGGTGTCAGACTGTTTCAGCGTGACTGTCTTTGACCGGAGGCAAAAACACACACACAAAAAAAAGAAAAGGATAAAATCATTGAAAACAACTTTCAATGTTACTTTTTACTCCTTTAGGGAATGAAGGATCCTATTAAAACACTAATGGTATAATTTAAATTAAAATATATATATATATATATATTATAAATTAATTGATTTAAAATATGGTTTTTTTCGCTACACAGTTCCAACCATGTTTCAAAAATAGAAGCTAAAAACCCTGAATTTAATTTTTTGCAATTAAATTAAAAGCATTAGTTCCATTTCATCTTCAAGCGAATTTTGAGTAACTTTTAAAAATTACCGGGTTTTAAAGACACAGCTAAAATCACATTTCCATGGTTACAGAATATTCTACTTAAATTGAACAAGGGATATCTAGATTTCCTTATGTCAGTATCATTGTATCAGTTATTAGCTACAATTTGGAAGGGGTAGGGATGTATTTTACAATGAAACCTGACATCAGTTGAATGGATGTCGTCTGAATGTTTTTTTAAAAAAATTGTTAACGGTAAAAAAATTTTAACGTCACTTTTTAAATTTAAAGATTTTCGGTTTTTTTTTTTTTTTTTTTTTAATTCTTTTTATTTAACTACGATTTGAAATATTCTCCTTTTGTAAAAATAAAAATATCTATAAGAACACCGGATTTTATATCTTACTGTTCTTTCTTTTTATTTATATACATATATATATATATATATATATATATATATATATATATATATAGATAGATAGATAGATAGAGAGAGAGAGAGAGAGAGAGAGAGAGAGATTCAGGTATAACGACGAAGTAATAATTTGACACCTAATTGTCTCTCTGCTGAAAAATTCCTATGTCGAATCGGCCATGGCGAATCAGCGACGCTAAATGGGCTACGCCGGGACGTCAAATTCCCTAATTTTGCTTAGAGAGATAATAGCTTCTCTATCACTATTTCCACGGTGAATGTTCAGACGAGCTACATTCCTTAGTTACACAAGTTCAAACCTTCACAACTACGACCTACCATATCACGTACACAGGCTCAAATCATCCTCATTCCTTTCGTATTTCATTGCTAAAGAGGAAGTTATACTCAATTTATAGTCTTTGACATTTTTTGGTTATGATGGCTGGTTCTTGCCGCTTTTCAAAATTTAGAATTTTCAGCCATTCAATAGATATCTGATGATGACCAGAGGCACTTTGTCGAAACGTCGTGTCTATAATAACATCTATATCAACCAAGATGAAAACAATAGCTCGAAATAATAAAAGTATATTGACAATTACACATCTTTGAAATGAAATACTGAATTATCGAAATTAGGCCATCATAATCAAATGTCAAAATCTGTGTGAAAATGGAAAAGGCTCCAACGACACAACATTAACATCGTGAATGTCAAAGGCAATGTCGAGAAGAGTCGTGAATGAGGTGCTGAGCAATCACGTGATTTAATAAGCACAAAATATCCTACTCACGTGACGTTAATCCTGCCGCTGAATTTTCTTCATGTTAAGATTTAGATTTTGGGAAATTTGGCATCGAAAAATTCGCCATAAAAATAACAAATAAAAAGAAGCGATTCTTTGAACGATAATTGAAAATGAATGGAACTTAATTAAAAAAAGGTTATCGACCCGATTCATTTTCAAAATATCTGATTGATTGATCCGTTTTCTACGGCTTATCAACCCTTTGCAGGTTATTTAAAGACAGAAGATATTTTTAGATTATAAGAATTTTGGGGGGATAATAATGGTTATGTGATACAAGTCTTACTAATTAACCCATAGCTGGGGTGCGAAGAGGTGGAATCATACCTAATCAGAATTTGATAAACAAACCAGAAATTATAATGTGGATATAAAGTGGAGGATCAATTCTATATTGCAATCAACATATAAACTGACCCCTCACTTTGTGGCCACGGTTAAATTCTATCTATATCTATAATTCTCAAAATGTGTGTGTGTGTGTGTGTGTGTGCATGTGTGATCGGATGTTGTTTATGCGTTTCCACAGTTTTCATCCGATTTCGATGATTCTATTTTTTTGATTGATAATTCTTCAGTGCCGGTTTTGAGTCCAAATTGTTGGCGACAATGGCTCTCCACTACTTCCTGTTTATTAAAAATCTTTACTATCTGTTCTTGGATATATATCTTTTATAATTTTTTTTTTGTTTTTATAGATAATTCTTTGCTGCCGGTTTTGAGTCTAATTTGGCTGGAAAAAATTACAACCTTAAAGTTGAAAAATCGAAAAAAAAAAAAAATTGGTTTTTTACACTTTGCACAAAAATCAAAGGGAAAATTTAATGTCTGTAAAAATCAGCGTACAATAAATTTAGAGAGTTGAAATATAACGCAAAAGATTATTAGAATTAAACAAAAAATATATTATAAATATAAATTATCGTATTATGACGGTCCATAGAAGAAGTTCCTTTCTTGCAAGATTGAGAACGCAAAAAGGACCCTTTTCAGGGCTCCCCACTACCCATTCAAATTGTTAACCCTCCATTTGGGGATGTGCCTCAGTTGCACCCAAATGTTGTTACTAATGTTGATTTTCGGGTGGGCTGACTTTAAACTTAAACTGCTCCAAATGAACGGTAAAAAATCCCAGTAATGAAAGACCCGGCCAAAGGCGGGTCATACAGCTACTATATATATATATTCCAGAGCATGTAAATAAATCTAAAACACATGACTAGGTAGCTAATCAGTATTTCTTTGATTGATTCATTCATTTTCTACGGCTTATCACCCCTTTGCAGGTTATTTAAAGCCAGAAAATAATTTTACACTGTAAGAATTTTTGGGGGGTATAATAAGGGTTTAGTGATACAAGTCTTACTAATTAACCCATAGCTGGGGTGAGAAGAGGTGGATTCATACATTTCCTAAGGGTGTTTGCACATAAGTGAATATAACAAACGGAATTGAACGTCTGACTAGTAATTCCGAGTCATTATCCATTACACCACCCGCACACCGAAGATTACAGCATTTGGTATTCCATAGCGGTCATCCATCTAGGTACTGGCCAGGATCGATGTTGCTTAACTTACGGGAACGGGTCTTTCAAGGACGTTAAGTATGTCGGTTCGTTTATGTAAAAGCCACAACTGCGATAAGCATGCATAGAATTTTATGATCAGATTTGCAAAGGTTTTTTTTTTCCCAGAAAGCCTTGCGACGACGCATGAAGAGCCATTGGGGATGAAACGGGGGAAGAGCTGTGGTCAAATTTGCCCCCTATGGATGTTTAGATGATTTATCAGATTTGACCACGCCTTAAAAGTCTGGGTACTGAATGGGCTTAACTTCGGTGATCGTACGATAACCGTTTTTCCAACCTGATGTGATATTCCCAAATATCTGACCAAATCAATAAACATTATTTTTTTGTGAGGTTTTCGAATTAGCCAAGCTTTTCAGCACCCTTCGTATAGTAAGAGTAATTTATTTACACCAGTGGTTCTCAACCTGGGTCTATATGGATCCAAGGAGTCCATGTAACATTACTTGTGGTCCATCCCCAAAAAGATAGAAGATTGAGGGTTTACCGTAATATTTTAGTGGTCACAAATGAGATTTGGAATTTCTGCAGTAATTATACGGCATATTAAAATACTAGAATTCGAAAACAAAAAACCTCCAAAAACCCCCTTCTTTTATATATCTAAATTAGCGTCTCTTTTACTCTTCAGGATGTTTTGATTGTAAAAGTTGAATAAAAACAAAGAAGGATATATAAAAGAAGGATTTATATATATATATATATATATATATATATATGTAAGAAAATATATGGATATAGATCCGACAGTATGAAGAAAAATACAGAAAAAACAAACAAAATTCTTAATATGCAATTATGCTGTATTAATGTTAATATAAAGTCGACGTCGGACGTTTCGGTCTATTTAAGACCATATTTAAATGAAAATGTCCATGAAGAGAGAAGGAGTCGAGCGTATTAACATGTCCCTTGACAAACGTCAAGCAATCGTTATTATTCTCTCTACCTTTCTCCCTCGCCTCTTTTATACTTGATAAATGAACGGAACATTTTAAGACTGAGCGATTACTTCAAAGGCATTCCTACCCTACGATAACGCTCATAAATACATACATACATCCACACATACGTTCCTGCCTACGTACACATAAACTCATTCTTACAAGGACTACTACGAACATTTTGATGACCTTGTATCAACCAAAATACATTAATTTTATTTGTAGTGGCCTTAATTGATTTATATGTATATAAATTTGTTGTTTCACTTGACAATTTGATTTTCTTGTTTTATATCCCCTCTTATAGTGGGCTATCTAACTAACAAGGCCAAATCAAACTAATTTGTTTCAACACTTCACTATAACTGATAACCCACTATAACAATTTCGACGCAATTTTTTTCCCTTATATTTCAATATTTAGGTATTTATTGTGAATTTAAAACAGTTTATGTTTGCAAATAATTTGTGTAAATTTCAAAAGACATACTGAGAGTTTGAAAGAGTTATCTTTCTTTGATCAGATATTTTATATTGAAGTTGGTTGCGTATTCAAGTTGTAAGTTTTTTTTGAAAGAATTATTGGCAGACTGATATTATGTTAACAAGAAGGTTAAAGTTAAGTCTGAAATCTGAAATTACGTGACGTCGGTTCTAGGGTCAAGTTGAAATGTTTGCGCTCCTCAACTGACGAGGATCAATGTTGTAGGATTTTGATCCTATAACTTCGCTTATTAAAATGTTTAAATCGAAGTAACAATAGTGTGAGCCAGATATACTTAATAACAAGGAACTTCGCATATTAAAAAAAAATGCGGCAAAATTGTCTTACGGCAAAAATCCTATACGGCAAAGTATTCTACGGCGAAAATTTCTGAGGGGAGTTGTCCTACGGCAAAAATGTTTAGAACCACATTCGATATCTGAGATTGGTTTGGATTCTATATTTCGCAAGCACACATCTCCCATTGATCAGTGCAAGAGACTTTATAAAAGCATAGGCAGGCATAGTTTTGTGTTTAAGTTAATATATATATATATATATATATATATATATATATATATATATATATATATATATATATATAGATATATAGATGAATAGATAGATACACCTAGTGAGCCAGACAAACCTACCTAGTTTTCACCTAAACGGATCGTCAGGGAAAGGTTTGGCCAAGTTTCCCTGACGATCCGTTTGGGTGAAACCCTGGGTAGGTTGTCTGGCTCACTGGGTGTATCTAGGTCTGCTCTACGGTTGTATTGAGCTCTTTTGTTAGTTAGTTGTTACTCGTATCGGGGTTTTTTTTTTCTTTGGGCTTCAGACCTGCATCTGTGCGATTTTTTTGTCGGCAGAAGTTCATGTTTGTAGCTCTTTCTTTTTTAAAACCTTTTTTCTCTCGAGATTGATTTGATTAGCAAATCAAAAAATTCGAGGGTTTTTCGAAACGATTCTAGTTATCTATATATATATATATATATATATATATATATATATATATATATATATATATATATATAGCTGGCCACTCGTATTCGAGGAAACCCGTCTACTAGGGAGGCTAGCCAATCCCTGTTGTAGACGCTTGCTCAGGCGCATTTATGTTTATTCAAAACCCACAGAGCTCACTTGTGGTTTATACTGCAACTATGCTGAGCAGACCATAGTGACAGTTTCTGGGAAAGGTCGTGTTATCTAGCGTGATCAACAATTTGAACAAGCCCTCGGTCACGATGACTTGTGACTTTGTGCTATCACAGCTATCGACGAGCCAAAGGGTTTCGTCTACCCAATTTCACTCACAAAGCTTGGGTCGACCCGTGGTATGGTTTTCAGGCAATTTCCCAAGGATGCCGCACTCTGGGACCAACACCTCCAGTTTGATAACATTAGGAAGTCACTCTACTGACAAATCGACCGAGATTCGAACCCGGGTCTCATGGCCAGAATGCCACGTGCCCATCTGGATTAAGGTGACCCCAGCAAATACTCCTAAGTTTTCGACGATCCACAGTATGGTTCTACAGAAGGATACTAAGCATACCAAGGACGGAGCAACAAGGAAAACTCAAAGAAAATGGCAACAGAAAGATCATTGCTAGTTGGAAAACAGCCGAATTTCCTTGGAAACATAATAAGAGTAGGAAACGCTGGCAGTAATAAAATTGGAAAGGTACAAGTTATAGGGTTTGATTACTGTTGTAACCTAGGGAAGGTTACTGAATAGAATAATCACACGAAGGTTGGTAATGAACGATAATACTTAAAACAAGAACAACACATATAATATTCACCAGCGGCGCGTAGAAGAAGTAGTCAACTGCTCGAAGTGAATCAAGTGAAGTCTACAATGAATATCCAACTGCAGGATATCTACCAACCGCCCCACGCCGTCAGATGTGAACACAAGCCCGAATTTAATGTAGGGTATCCGAGCCCGTAGGCACGCCCAAAAATTCGCCGTAGACCTCGTATAAAACGGGGTCAGGTAGCTGTTTCCCGAGACGAGACTTTGTCCTGCGACATAGCCTCGTTTGGGGATCCTCTCTGCCCGGAGGCAGAGAGTTTGACCAACACATCTAGGATATTTAGCTACCCACCCACGACGGTTGCGTGTGGCACAAGGCCGGTTTAATGTGGGTTCTCTGAGCCCGTAGGCTCGGCCAAAAATGTTCCCTTTCGAACTCGTATAAACGGGTTCCGGTGACAGTCTACCTTCCCGAACGAGACTCTGCCCCTTCAGCGGAGCCTCGTCAGGTTCCCTTCGCCCGAGGCAGAGAGTTCGACTAGTACAGCTGGAGATAAATCTCAACTGCAGACCAACATACAGTATTTACTACTGTATTTATGTGAATGGGAACATACCCATTATCGTCCGAAGGTATGCTACATCAATTGCAAATAAGGGTGCGTATTATGCGCCAGTAGAAGCATTTTCTCACAATTTCAACGCAAATACAGGTATATCTTTAAAGTACATTCATAAGCTTTAATAATAATTCTTTTCAATCATTTTGTGGAATCGATGCTGAATGTTTATGAAACGAAGAATCAATCCATTTGTTCGTTTAACTGATAATCGATGTGTCGAAATAACGTATTTCCAGAATCGACAAGACAGTCTGAATTAAGACGAGGAAAACAGTCCCAAAAGGTGTAACAATCCGTAAATTACGAAAAGAAAATAGATTTTTTTTAAATAATAATGTTCACTCAATACAAGACCCAAATGCCACTCATGGTAGAGGGTTACTGAGTGGTATTATATTAGAGCAAGAAAAGGAAAGAAGTGAAGTTCATGCTGTTATGCAGGAAAGATAAGGGCTAATCCTAGACTAGAAGAGGTCAACATTATAGCGATTGGGAAAACATCTCGCCAGGAGTCTGTTCCACAAAGCAGGAGTTTTGGGACAGAAGGTGTTCCAATGGAACTTACTTCTTACTATAGGAATACAAAAGGAAAAGATAACGGTTAACCCTAGACTTGAAAAGGTCAAGATTGTAGTGATTGGAAAAAACATCCTGCCTGGAGTCTGTTCCACAAAGCTAGCAGATCTTGGGAAGAAGCTGTCTGAATGGAACTTGTTTTTACTATAGAAATGAATGGAAAAGATAACGGTTAACCCTAGATTTGAAGAGGCCAAGATTGTAGTGACTGAGAAGACATCCTGTCTGGGAGTCTGTTCCACAAAGCAGCAGTTCCTGGAAGAAGCTGTCCGAATGGAACTTCTAACTATAGAATATGAAGGGGATGGAATGAATACATTTTGTGGATGTGACATGGTGTGTCACATTTATGAAGGTCAAGGGTTGGTGGAACTAAAATACATGAAATGGAAATACTGATAGAGCAGGAGAGGTTTGGGGTGTTTCGTCTGTGACAAAAAGGGTTTGGACAATGGAATTCACTCGCCCACAAGGCGGCGTAGACCATTTAATCTCTAGAAAGGCAAGTGAGTACTGTTAGCTTTACGTATGCTTACAGACGTATCACCGGTTACCGTACGATCAGCGATGTTT